GTGTATATATACATATATGCTTGTACATGCATGTTTAGTGTGACCTAAATGTCGGTAGAATTAGCAAGACGTACCTGAAATCTTGCATGTTCATGACACCAGCAATCTTTTTTTTTTTTTTTAACAAACCGGCCGTATCCCACCAAGGCAGGGTGGCCCAAAAAGAAAAACAAAAGTTTCTCTTTTCAAATTTAGTAATTTATACAGGAGAAGGGGTTACTAGCCCCTTGCTCCCGGCATTTTAGTCGCCTCTTACAACACGCATGGCTTACAGAGGAAGAATTCTGTTCCACTTCCCCATGGAGATAAGAGGAAATAAACAAGAACAGAACTAGAAAGAAAATAGAAGAAAACCCAGAGGGGTGTGTATATATGTGCTTGTACATGTATGTGTAGTGTGACCTAAGAGTAAGTAGAAGTAGCAAGACGTACCTGAAATCTTGCATGTTTATGAGATGGAAAAAAGGACACCAGCAATCCTACCATCACGTAAAACAATTACAGGCTTTCGTTTTACACTCACTTGGCAGGACGGTAGTACCTCCCTGGGCAGTTGCTGTCTACCATCTTACTACCTTTTCTTTTCTTTCAACATACCAGCCATATCCCACCGAGATAGGGTGGCCCAAAAGAAAAAACTGAAGTTTCTCCTTTCATATTTAGTAATATATACAGGAGAAGGGGTTACTAGCCCCTTGCTCCCGGCATTTTAGTCGCCTCTTACGACACGCATGGCTTACAGAGGAAGAATTCTGTTCCACTTCCCCATGGAGATAAGAGGAAATAAACAAGAACAAGAATTAGAAAGAAAATAGAAGAAAACCCAGAGTGGTGTGTATATATATGCTTGTACACGTATGTGTAGTGTGACCTAAGTGTAAGTAGAAGTGGCAAGACATACCTGTAATTTTGCATATTTATGAGACAGACAAAAGACACCAGCAATCCTACCATCTGGAGTTTACCTGGAGAGAGTTCCGGGGGTCAACGCCCCCGTGGCCCGGTCTGTGACCAGGCCTCCTGGTGGATCAGAGCCTGATCAACCAGGCTGTTGCTGCTGGCTGCACACAAACCAACGTACGAGCCACAGCCCGGCTGGTCAGGAACCGACTTTAGGTGCTTGTCCAGTGCCAGCTTGAAGACTGCCAGGGGTCTGTTGGTAATCCCCCTTATGTATGCTGGGAGGCAGTTGAACAGTCTCGGGCCCCTGACACTTATTGTATGGTCTCTTAACGTGCTAGTGACACCCCTGCTTTTCATTGGGGGGATGTTGCATCGTCTGCCAAGTCTTTTGCTTTCGTAGTGAGTGATTTTCGTGTGCAAGTTCATGTAAAACAATTACAGGCTTTCGTTTTACACTCACTTGGCAGGACGGTAGTACCTCCCTGGGCGGTTGCTGTCTACCAACCTACTACCTACATCTTACTACCTATAATATAAATAAATATGACTCCATACTCAAACTCAATGTCCTTAATCTGGGTCAGTTTCGCTTCAGGCCAGGACAAAGCACCAATAATGAATAATAAAAATTACTCGGCTCAATCTACTCCTCTCTTGAAAATAATGAATATCCAATAGGCCTGCTTAAATTGAAACATGGAATAAGACATGTTCTCTCAGACATGAAATCTTACTTCAGTGACAGACACTAATATTTTTTTTTTTTTTAACACACCAGCTATTTCCAGCCAAGGCAGGATGGCCCCAAAAATAGAATAAACACTTTCACCATCACTCATTACATCACCGTCTTGCCAGGGGCATAAGTACTACAGTTCGAAGCTGCAAATATACCCCCTCCCTCCTTCAGAGTGCAGGCACTCTGTTATAAATGGTCATTAATATGTGACCTTTAATTACCGTTCTTCAGCAATCCAATCGATCAATATAGGGGTTCCACAAGGTAGTGTCTTGGGCCCTCTACTATTCCACCTGTATTTGCCGATGACACTACTTTTGTTATTTCAAATGTTGATTGGCTGCACTCAACAACACAGCAAAATGGCAAATTTGCTAAAATATCTACTTGAATCATAACTAACATACTCTTACTCATATAACAATGGCAATTTGAGAAATTGTTAAATGTTGATGAAGATAGGGAAGCTGTGATTTCGTGTATAGGGCAAGGAGGAACAACATCTTGGGGATGAGGAAAGCCAGTTTTGAGTGGGGGAAGTTCGTGAGGCAGTAGGTAAAAGAAAGGGGGTAAGGCCCGCTGGGATTGATGGATAAAGATGAAAAGAAAAGAGGTGGGATATTTTTGGAGTGGTTGGTAAATTATTTAATAAATTAGGAAAGGGTAAGGTACCTGGGGAGGGGCGAAAAGCAGCATAGTTTTTTTGTTAAAGGCAAAGGGGATAAAGAGAGTGCAAAAATTATAGGGGGAAAAGTCTGTTGATATACCTGGCAAAGTGTAGGGTAGAGTTATAATTGAAAGAATTAAGAAAAGACAGAGAATAGGATAGCAATGAACAAGGGGTTTGGGAAAAGGGTAGGGGGGGTGGCCAGGTGTTTACAGTGAAACATGAAATTTTTTTTTTTTTATCACCCCGGGCCCGTTCCCCCAAAGGGCGGGGGCCCGAAAAAGAAAAATTTTTCACCATCATTCACCCATCACGTCTTGCCAGAAGGGTTGCTTTCACTACATTTTTTTAAACTGCAACTTTAACACCCCCCTTCAGGTGCAGGCACTGTATTCCCACTCCAGGACTCAAGCCCGGGCCCCGGGTTTTCCCCCTGAATCCCTTCATAAATGTTCTTTGCTCCACTCCAACGCACGTAAATTTTAAAAAACCCTTTTGTCTCCTTTCACCCCTATAAAAACACGCTACGCATGCCTGCGGAAGTAAACCCTCCAACAAAAACCTCCTTTACCCCCCCCCCAACCCCTTTCCCAGGCCACCCCTCCCCCCCCTTCCTTCCCCCTACAGATTTCACTCTTAAGTCATTCTGTTTGCTTTTATTCTCTCTACATGCCAAACCCCCCACAACCCCTTCCCCAGCCCTTGGGCAACAGTTTTTTATTTCCCCCCCCCCTCCTCCTAATTTCCAAATCAATTTCCTTTCATTATTTTACACCACACATTGCCCCCGAAATACATCTCCACGCCCCAGCCTTCTCCCGCTGCAAATTCATCACCCCGCTTCACACCCATATAAGACTTGGTAAAACATACCCCATACCTCCCCTCTTTGCCCCAAAGGACAAAATTCTTTTTCTCCACAGATCCTAATGCACCACCAAATCTTTTTCCCCCCATCAATTCTATGATTCACCTCATCTTCTAGACCCATCCCCTTACACTCCACCCCAAATATTGAATCATTTACCCCCCTCCATACTCTCCCCTCCAACTGATATTCATTTTCTCCCTAATCTTTTTTTTACCCCCAAACCCTTTCTCTTTCCCGTATTCACCTTTTAATTTTCTTCTTTTGCAAACCCTACCCAAAAACATCCACCAATCTCTGCAACTTCCTTTAAATCCCCAAGACACAGTTCATCAGCAAAAGCACTGTGACAATCCCATTTGGGGGGATTCTTTGTCTTTTAATCCCCGCCCTTTTCCAAAACCCTCGCATTTACTTCCTTAAACCCCTCTATAAATATATTAAACAACCACGGTAATACACACCTTGTCTAAGGCCCACCTTTTCTGGGAAAAATTTTTCCTCTTTCCCAAAACTCTAATTGAGCCTCACATCCTCGTAAAAACTCTTCACTGCTTTATAACCTCCCCCCTACACCATCCTTGCAACATCTGCCCCATTCCCCCCCTTTCCCCCCGTCATTGCCTTTTTCCCAAAACCTAAATGCCACAAGACCCCTTTGCCTTTGGGGGTGGAAGTGTCAGCGGATGGGTCTATGAAAGATGAGGTGAAACATAGAATTTGATGGGGGGAAAAGGGTGAGTGGGGGCACTTAGGGTCTGTGGAGACAAAGAACTTTGTCCTTGGAGGAAAAAGGGGGGGGAATGTATGAGAGTATATTTTTTACCAACGCTCTTATATGGGTGTAAAGAGGGGTGATAAAATGTTGCAGCGAGGAAAAGGCCCTTGGGGGCAGTGGAGATGTCATTTCTGAAAAAAAATTTGTGGTTTAAATATAATGCAAAGAATTCGAAAGTTTGGAAGTTAGGAGAGGTCATTACCAAAATTTGTTTTTCCAAGAGGGCTGGGGAAGGGTTTTTTGAGGGGGTTTCGGGAAAAATTTGGAAAAAAGGGAAAGGCAAAAACGGGAAAAAAACTTCAAGAGTTTATCAGTCTGAAGGGGAAAGGGAAGGGGGGTTTGGGGGGGGGTCGGGCCTGGGAAAAGGGGTTGGGGGGGGGGGTTTTAAAGGGGTTTTGTGTGCGTGGGGTTTGGGAATTCCCCACGGGCATGTGTGACCCGTGTTTGAAAGGATTTGAAGGAACCCCCCAATTTTGTTTTTTCCCCCCGGCCCCCCGTCCCTGTTTGGAATGGGAGAAAATAAATTTTTTTTTATAAAGGGGGTTTTCAGGGAAAACCCGGGCGGGGGCCCGGACTTGGTCCTGGAGAGGGGGAAGTACAGTCCCTTTGCACCCTAAAGGGAGGGTTTTAAAAATTTTTGCATTTTAAAAAAAACTGTTGTAAAGAACCCCCTTCTGGAAAACCCAGTGATGGATTTGAAGGGGATGGTGAAAGTTTTTTTTTTTTTGGGCCCCCCCCTGCCTTGGGGGGAAAACGGCCAGTTATAAAAAAAAATAAAATGGCCACAAAAACCATTAATTTAAACCTAAAACCCAGAGAAGAAAATATTTTCCGCCCGAGGGCCTTTTGTCTTGAGCTTCGTCTCTTCTTTATTTTCGGGAAATTTCGTCCAAGCTAACTTAAAATCGTAAAGAATTTGGGATACTCCATCTAAAAATAAATAAACCCAAATTTGATTTTCTTTTGGGGGAGAATGTTTGCCCTTTACCTCTGACTTTGTACGCCCAAAAACTTTTCATATAAGGGGAATGAACACATCTTTTTTTTACAAAAAGTGAAGGAAGCACATTTTAAAACTTGGAAAATTTTTTTCTTTCCATTTTTTCAGCTTAAAAGCTGAATGAGCTTGAGTGAAGCGCTTGCATCTTCTTGGGGGTCGTGGGCCACACTCATTTTTTCTGAAATCCCACCAAAAAACAGTTTTGCCAGCACCCTTCGGGGATGAGCGGTGGTTCCGCACATTACTTAAGTTGTACACCAAGGATGAATCAATCACATATGGGTGCATCATCTGCAAATAAGTTATTGAATTTTTAACACACCAGCCATCTCCCACAGAGCTAGGGTGACTCGAAAACAAAGAAGCACTTCTGCCATCACTCACTCCATCATTGTCTAACCAGAGGCATGCTGATACTATAGTTCAAACTGCAAATATTCCCCACCCCTCCTTCAGAGTGCAGGCACTGTACTTCTCACCTCCAGAACTCAAGACCAGCTAATTAGTTTTCCTCAATCCCTTCATAAATATTACCTTGCTCACACTCCAACACCACGTCAAGCCATAAAAACCACTGGCCTCCACTCACTTCTATCTAACATGCTCATACAAGCCTGTTGGATGTCCAAGATCCTAGCATTCAAAACCTCCTTTACATTCTCTATCCAACCTTTCCTAGGATGACTCCTACCCCTTCTTCCCTCCAATCCAGATTTATGTGCTCTCCTGTCATCCCATTTTCCTCCATACTATCTAAATATCCAAACATAAATGCCTCAAAAAATTAATATTGAACTTAATGCTATGAGTGATTCAGTGCACCACATGATATAAATGCACGTGACTCAGAATTCATACACACACACAACACAGATAACACAAACCTTCATAGCTCTTAAGTCTGAATGGAGGGAGTGGCCTACAAGAATGGCATCTGGAGGCAAGAGTTCCCTCAGGTCACGATGAACATCTTGTAATGTTGTGGTAACATCATCTAGTATGCTCTCAGTTATGCCAGAGTACTGCGTCAGATAGTTGATGATTGTGTTCTCTGGTTTCACCAATGTGTGGTAGATTAACTGTAAACAAGGTTATTATTATCACACTGGCCGATTCCCACCAAGGCAGGGTGGCCCGAAAAAGAAAAACTTTCACCATCATTCACTCCATCACTGTCTTGCCAGAAGGGTGCTTTACACTACAGTTTTTAAACTGCAACATTAACACCCATTAACATTACATTAACATTAACACAACATTAACATATTAATTACCAGAGAAAATGAGGATTCTAGCTCAAGATACTTCACTGACCTGCTGCCTCTAATACCACTCATACAGACTGCTAACTTTGCGTCTAAATAATTCCTTAAGTTTTCCATCAATTTTCACATTTTTAGTGTCGTTACCTTCAGAAAAAGATTCTCTACCATTTCAGAGTTGAAAAAAAAAAAAAAAAAAAGCTGCGAAACTGTCAGCACTTTCAATTTCAGGGTCACAAGAGTAAAGGGTAATTATACATTATGCAATTCATCTATGCCTAATTTTTGTTCACTTTAGGCTAAGGAAGTCAGATGAAGTTACATGATCTTCAGGGAAGTACAGTGCATGCACTCTGAAGGAGGGGTGGAGGTAGGAAGTACAGTAACTGAATTATGAAGGAGGGGTGGAGGTGGGAAGTACAGTAACTGCACTATGAAGGAGGGTGGTGGGAAGTACAGTGCCTGCACTCTGAAGGAGGGGTGGAGGTAGGAAGTACAGTAACTGAATTATGAAGGAGGGGTGGAGGTAGGAAGTACAGTAACTGCACTATGAAGGAGGGTGGTGGGAAGTACAGTGCCTGCACTCTGAAGGAGGGGTGGAGGTAGGAAGTACAGTAACTGAATTATGAAGGAGGGGTGGAGGTAGGAAGTACAGTAACTGAATTATGAAGGAGGGGTGGAGGTAGGAAGTACAGTAACTGAATTATGAAGGAGGGGTGGAGGTGGGAAGTACAGTAACTGCACTATGAAGGAGGGTGGTGGGAAGTACAGTGCCTGCACTCTGAAGGAGGGGTGGAGGTAGGAAGTACAGTAACTGAATTATGAAGGAGGGGTGGAGGTAGGAAGTACAGTAACTGAATTATGAAGGAGGGGTGGAGGTAGGAAGTACAGTAACTGAATTATGAAGGAGGGGTGGAGGTAGGAAGTACAGTAACTGAATTATGAAGGAGGGTGGTGGGAAGTACAGTGCCTGCACTCTGAAGAAAAGGTGAGGATGTTGCTGTCAGGAGGATCATTTGAACTGCATTGTCTGTATACTTCTGGCAAGACAGCTATTAAATGAATTATGGCGAATGTTTTTTTTTTTTTTTGGGGGGGGGGGGGAGGTGGTGAGGGGGTCACCCTACCTCAATGGGAGATGAATGATGTGTTCAAAAAATTCTAAACTTCTTCAATGAGTATTTTTATTATTTTATTATCACACTGGCCGATTCCCACCAAGGCAGGGTGGCCCGAAAAAGAAAAACTTTCACCATCATTCACTCCATCACTGTCTTGCCAGAAGGGTGCTTTACACTACAGTTTTTAAACTCAACATTAACACCCCTCCTTCAGAGTGCAGGCACTGTACTTCCCATCTCCAGGACTCAAGTCCGGCCTGCCGGTTTCCCTGAATCCCTTCATAAATGTTACTTTGCTCACACTCCAACAGCACGTCAAGTATTAAAAACCATTTGTCTCCATTCACTCCTATCAAACACGCTCACGCATGCCTGCTGGAAGTCCAAGCCCCTCGCACACAAAACCTCCTTTACCCCCTCCCTCCAACCCTTCCTAGGCCGACCCCTACCCCGCCTTCCTTCCACTACAGACTGATACACTCTTGAAGTCATTCTGTTTCGCTCCATTCTCTCTACATGTCCGAACCACCTCAACAACCCTTCCTCAGCCCTCTGGACAACAGTTTTGGTAATCCCGCACCTCCTCCTAACTTCCAAACTACGAATTCTCTGCATTATATTCACACCACACATTGCCCTCAGACATGACATCTCCACTGCCTCCAGCCTTCTCCTCGCTGCAACATTCATCACCCACGCTTCACACCCATATAAGAGCGTTGGTAAAACTATACTCTCATACATTCCCCTCTTTGCCTCCAAGGACAAAGTTCTTTGTCTCCACAGACTCCTAAGTGCACCACTCACTCTTTTTCCCTCATCAATTCTATGATTCACCTCATCTTTCATAGACCCATCCGCTGACACGTCCACTCCCAAATATCTGAATACGTTCACCTCCTCCATACTCTCTCCCTCCAATCTGATATTCAATCTTTCATCACCTAATCTTTTTGTTATCCTCATAACCTTACTCTTTCCTGTATTCACCTTTAATTTTCTTCTTTTGCACACCCTACCAAATTCATCCACCAATCTCTGCAGCTTCTCTTCAGAATCTCCAAGAGCACAGTGTCATCAGCAAAGAGCAGCTGTGACAACTCCCACTTTGTATGTGATTCTTTATCTTTTAACTCCACGCCTCTTGCCAAGACCCTCGCATTTACTTCTCTTACAAACCCCATCTAAATATATTAAACAACCACGGTGACATCACACATCCTTGTCTAAGGCCTACTTTTAATGGGAAAAATTTCCCTCTTTCCTACATACTCTAACTTGAGCCTCACTATCCTCGTAAAAACTCTTCACTGCTTTCAGTAACCTACCTCCTACACCATACACTTGCAACATCTGCCACATTGCCCCCCTATCCACCCTGTCATACGCCTTTTCCAAATCCATAAATGCCACAAAGACCTCTTTAGCCCTTTTCTAAATTTCTGTTCACTTATATGTTTCACTGTAAACACCTGGTCCACACACCCCTACCTTTCCTAAAGCCTCCTTGTTCATCTGCTATCCTATTCTCCGTCTTACTCTTAATTCTTTCAATTATAACTCTACCATACACTTTACCAGGTACACTCAACAGACTTATCCCCCTATAATTTTTGCACTCTCTTTTATCCCCTTTGCCTTTATACAAAGGAACTATGCATGCTCTCTGCCAATCCCTAGGTACCTTACCTCTTCCATACATTTATTAAATAATTGCACCAACCACTCCAAAACTATATCCCCACCTGCTTTTAACATTTCTATCTTTATCCCATCAATCCCGGCTGCCTTACCCCCTTTCATTTTACCTACTGCCTCACGAACTTCCCCCACACTCACAACTGGCTCTTCCTCACTCCTACAAGATGTTATTCCTCCTTCAATGATATTACTCCTTCAATGAGTAATATCACCAAAACATGAAATATATGCAATTCACAAAATTCTATATTTTCATACACAAGGCATATGCTGAGAATGACAGCATAGCTGAAATGCTACAATGACTGGGTTCCATTCCCTCATTCGCTACAGATATGTTTATCACTTCTAGCTTATTGGTACTGATACATCCACTTACCTTCCTCTCCTCATTCACTACAGATATTCTAGTTAGTTCTAACTCTTGTGCATCGGTTAAGCACATCTCACAATCCACAGCAAACATAGGAGAAAATTCTTCCACCTGTTGAAAAAAAAACAATATTGAATGTTCAATAATATGCATAGTAATCACAAAAATAATAATCTGTCAATTCAAAATATGTCATAATTAATTACTTGAATGTACCTTACACTGAGTTATAAGTATTATGCAATACAGATTAACTGAAGTTGTCAGAAGACAATAGTATGTATGACTAAATAAATCTAATTCTTTACAAAACAAAAATTGGAGCTAAATACTTACCAAAACAATAAAGTTTAACATTAGCCAAAAACAGAAACTTAAATGAACATTGCCACTCTTTACATGTATAGAAAGCACAGTTGTTAATCCTCTTGACTGTTTCGGCTGTATATATACGTCTTACGAGCCAGTGTTTCAGACGTATATATACTCAATAATTCTAGCGGTAGTAGGTTGGTAGACAGCAACCACCCAGGGGGGTACTACCGTCCTACCAAGTGAGTGTGAAACGAAAGCCTGTAATTGTTTTACATGATGGTAGGATTGCTGGTGTCTTTTGTCTGCCTCATAAATATGCAAGATTACAGGTGCGTCTTGCTACTTCTACTTACACTTAGGTCACACTACACATACATGCACATGTTTATTTATACACTCTTATCTGAATTTTCTTTGATTTTATCTTAATAGTTCTTGGTCTTATTACTTTTCCTTTTATATCCATGGGGAAGTGGAATAAGAATCTTTCCTCTGTAAGCCATGCGTGTTGTAAAAGTCAACTAAAATGCTGAAAACAACAGGCTAGTAACCCCTTTTCCTGTAATAATTACTAAAAAGAATAAGAATAAGAAAATTGTCAAAGTGGGAAGTCTGAATGTGCATGGATGTTGTGCAAATGATAAGAAAGAGATGATTGTGGATGTTATGAATGAGAAGAAGCTGGATGTCCTGGCTTTAAGTGAAACAAAGCTGAAGGGGGTGGGAGAGTTTCAGTGGAGAGGAATAAAGGGGATTAGGACAGGGGTTTCAAATAGAGTTCGAGCTAAAGAAGGAGTAGCAATAATGTTGAAGGATAAGTTATGGCAGGAAAAGAGGGACTACAAATGTATTAATTCAAGGATTATGTGGAGTAAAATATAGGTTGGATGTGAAAAGTGGGTTATAGTAAGCATATATGCACCTGGAGAAGAGTGAAGTGTAGAGGAGAGAGAGAGATTTTGGGAAATGTTGAGTGAATGCGTGGGGAGTTTTGAACCAAGTGTGAGAGTAATGATGGTTGGGGATTTCAATGCTAAAGTGGGCAAAAATGTTGTGGAGGGAATAGTAGGTAAATTTGGGGTGCCAGGGGTAAATGAAAATGGGGAGCCTTTAATTGAGCTATGTGGAGAAAGAGGTTTGGTAATAAGTAATACATATTTTATGAAGAAGAGGATAAATAAATATACAAGGTATGATATAGCACATAATGAAAGTAGTTTGTTAGATTATGTATTGGTGGATAAAAGATTGATGGGTAGGCTCCAGGATGTACACGTTTACAGAGGGGCAACTGATATATCGGATCATTATTTAGTTGTAGCTACAGTTAGAGTAAGAGGTAGATGGGAAAAGAGGAAAATGGCAGCAACAAGCAAGAGGGAGGTGAAAGTGTATAAACTAAGGGAGGAGGAAGTTCGGGTGAGATATAAGCAACTATTGGCAGAAAGGTGGGCTGGTGCAAGTATGAGTAGTGGGGGGGTTGAAGAGGGTTGGAATAGTTTTAAAAATGCAGTATTAAAATATGGGGCAGAAGTTTGTGGTTATAGGAGGGTGGGTGCAGGAGGAATAAGGAGTGTTTGGTGGAATGATGAAGTAAAGGGTGTGATAAAAGAGAAAAAGTTAGCTTATGAGAGGTTTTTACAAAGCAGAAGTGTTATAAGAAGAGTAGAGTATATGGAGAGTAAAAGAAAGGTGAATAGAGTGGTGAGAGAATGCAAAAGGAGAGCAGATGATAGAGTGGGAGATGCACAGTCAAGATATTTTAATGAAAATAAGAAAAATTTTTGGAGTGAGTTAAACAAGTTAAGAAAGCCTAAAGAATGAATGGATTTGTCAGTTAAAAACAGAGTAGGGGAGTTAGTAAATGGGGAGATGGAGGTTTTGGGTAGACGACGAGAATATTTTTGAGGAACTTTTAAATGTCGACGAAGAAAGGGAAGCGGTAATTTCATGCACTGGCCAGGGAGGTATACCATCTTTTAGGAGTGAAGAAGAACAGGATGTGAGTGTGGGGGAGGTGCGTGAGGCATTACGTAGAATGAAAGGGGGTAAAGCAGCTGGAACTGACGGGATCATGACAGAAATGTTAAAAGCAGGGGGGATATAGTGTTGGAGTGGTTGGTATTTTCTTTAATGAATGTATGAAAGAGGGGAAGGTACCTAGGGATTGGCAGAGAGCATGTATAGTCCCTTTATATAAAGGGAAGGGGGACAAAAGAGATTGTAAAAATTATAGAGGAATAAGTTTACTGAGTATACCAGGAAAAGTGTACGGTAGGGTTATAGTTGAAAGAATTAGAGGTAAGACAGAATGTAGGATTGCGGATGAGCAAGGAGGTTTCAGAGTGGGTAGGGGATGTGTAGATTAAGTGTTTACATTGAAGCATATATGTGAACAGTATTTAGATAAAGGTAGGGAAGTTTTTATTGCATTTATGGATTCAGAAAAGCATATGATAGAGTGGATAGGGGAGCAATGTGGCAGATGTTGCAAATACATATATGGAATAGGTGGTAAGTTACTAAATGCTGTAAAGAGTTTTTATGAGGATAGTGAGGCTCAGGTTAGGGTGTGTAGAAGAGAGGGAGACTACTTCCCAGTAAAAGTAGATCTTAGACAGGCATGTGTAATGTCACCATGGTTGTTTAATATATTTATAGATGGGGTTGTAAAAGAAGTAAATGCTAGGGTGTTTGGAAGGGGAGTGGGATTAAATTATGGGGAATCAAATACAAAATGGGAATTGACACAGTTGCTTTTTGCTGATGATACTGTGCTCATGGGAGATTCTAAAGAAAAATTGCAAAGGTTAGTGGATGAGTTTGGGAGTGTGTGTAAAGGTAGAAATTTGAAAGTGAACATAGAAAAGAGTAAGGTGATGAGGGTATCAAATGGTTTAGATAAAGAAAAATTGGATATCAAATTGGGGAGGAGGAGTATGGAAGAAGTGAATGTTTTCAGATACTTGGGAGTTGACATGTCGGCAGATGGATTTATGAAGGAAGAGGTTAATCATAGAATTGATGAGGGAAAAAAGGTGAGTGGTGCGTTGAGGTATATGTGGAGACAAAAAATGTTATCTATGGAGGCAAAGAAGGGAATGTATGAAAGTATAGTAGTACCAACACTCTTATATGGGTGTGAAGCTTGGGTTGTGAATGCAGCAGCGAGGAGGCGGTTGGAGGCAGTGGAGATGTCCTGTCTAAAGACAATGTGTGGTGTAAATATTATGCAGAAAATTCGGAGTGTGGAAATTAGGAGAAGGTGTGGAGTTAATAAAAGTGTTAGTCAGAGGGCTGAAGAGGGGTTGTTGAGGTGGTTTTGTCATTTAGAGAGAATGGATCAAAGTAGAATAACATGGAGAGCGTACAAATCTGTACGGGAAGGAAGGCGGGGTAGGGGTTGTCCTCAAAAAGGTTGGAGGAGGGGGTAGAGGAGGTTTTGTGGGCGAGGGGCTTGGACTTCCAGCAAGCGTGCGTGAGCATGTTAGATAGGAGTGAATGGAGACGAATGGTATTTGGGACCTGACGATCTGTTGGAGTGTGAGCAGGGTAATATTTAGTAAAGGGATTCAGGGAAACCAGTTATTTTTATATAGCCGGACTTGAGTCCTGGAAATGGGAAGTACAATGCCTGCACTCTAAAGGAGGGATTCGGGATATTAGCAGTTTGGAGGGATATGCTGTGTATCTTTATAGGTATATACTTCTAAGCTGTTGTGTTCTGAGCACCTCTGCAAAAACAGTGATTATGTGTGAGTCAGGTGAAAGTGTTGAATGATGATGAAAGTATTTTCTTTTTGGGGATTTTCTTTCATTTTTGGGTCGCCCTGCCTCGGTGAGAGATGGCCGACTTGTTAACAATAAAAAAAAAAAAAATCGAGTGGCTTCAAATCAAACAGGAGAAAGCTGATAGCCCCACATGTGAGAGAATGGGTCTGTGTGGTCAGTGTGCACTGTATAAAAAAATCCTGCAGCACGCAGTGCATAATGAGAGAAAAAAACTCCGACCGTGTTTTTGGATTAAAACGCTGACTTTGAGGTGTATTTTCCTATAGTATTTATGGGTGTATTCTCGTTTTCTTGGTCTCATTTGATAGAATGGAAAACATATTACAGAAATTGCGATGATTCTGATTAGTTTCATGATGAAATTGAAATTGAGCTCAAATTAACGGAAATGTTCGATTTTTACCAATGTTTAAGAGTAAGCAAATCACACCACACGTCCAATACACGTCAACTAGGGAGTCTAATACTCTTTCACTAGTGCACTGATATTATTTATACCATTTTTACAATAATGCAGTAGTCTGCATAACAGTATGTCTTCTATTTTTTGTGTGAATAAAAAATCGAAATAGAAAGCAAGAGTAATATAAAAGGGGCCTGAAGACATGACTAATGAACAGAAGATATGTTATTTTAGTGCCAAGAGTGTCTGCCTTGTTTATTCTGGACCCTATTTTGAAATTGGCATCTTTTTTTAATTTGCGTGACATTGGCCAAATTGCCAATTTCTGACCACTTTATTGAGTAGTTGAAATCAGTAAATGGGTGGTTTCTTGTACTCAATTGATAGAAAAAATGGAGTTCTAAAGAAATAGCTATGAGTTTGGTCGACTGGAACAATGGACTTGGCCGAAAATAGGGCTCAAATTCGGTGAAATCACTGATGGGTATATATCGCCGAGATCGCTAACTTCGCGGGAGTGTAATTCCATAAGTTTTCGATCAAATTTCGTACTTTTGATGCCATTACCATCGGGAAAAGATTCTCTATCCTTTCATAAGAATTTTTTTTTTCCAAAAATTTTTCGACACCAGGAGACACTTCAGGATTTGGGGTTGCAACAGTCGAAGGGTTAAGTACAACATCCAGATGCAGGTACAGTACAGGATGGCCCTGCATATACAGCTCCCTCTTTTTGGTGTTCCACATTTTTGTTGCCTTCCAATTTAGCCATTGTTCATTATGGTTGGTGCTTTTACTGCTTTTCTGCAGTATCACCATTTTCGTACAACAGCTCCGTAAGGGAAGGACAACTGGCACTGTATTTTAAGGTAAGCATTGTATGTACTCTGTATTTATTTTACTTTTATTAATCTGTTTTTATGCCTATCTGTTTTGAGCACTTAATATATGATAGTGTAAACATGTTATCAGGCATTTTAGACACATTCCATAATGGAAAAACGGCTCTTTTCCCCCACCGACAATTTTTGCTTTTCATTTGGGGTGGCAAACCTTAGAGCCATATGAATGGGGCCCTCCTGCATTCTTATACATCATGCTTATAATTTCAGGGGTTTCTTTATTTGTGGGTTTCAATGAACTAAAATTTTTACTAATGGGCAACCCACAAACAGATTCGATTAACCATCGGCTATCTGCCTCAATGGCTTTGCCATGTGTAAATTTCTTTTTTTACTCTTTCATTTCATCTTATGAATGTATTACAGGGATATGGTCTCTGAAACACAGAATGAGCCTAAATAAAAAAGAATGGCAATACAGAATTATTTTTGCATTATTCACAGATCTAATTTTTTGAGACCTCAGAGAATGTAATCCCTAAGAGTTTGGAGACAACTGTAGTGTGTTTGGTCCATCAGTCTTAACCCTTTCAGGGTCCAGAGGCCAAATTTCAAAGGGTGCACCAGTGTCCAAGAATTTTTAAAAAATAATTTTGTTATTTTTTCTTATGAAATGGTAGAGAATCTTTTTTTCTGAAGGTAATAAAACAAAAAGTATGAAATTTGATGGAAAATTTATGAAATTATGCTCTCGCAAATTTTGACGTGTCAGCGATATTTATGTATTGTCGATTTTGCGGACTTTGACTCCCATTTAGGCCAATTACATTATTCCAGTTGACCAAATTCTTAGCTATTTCACTAGTATTACTTCTATTCTATCGATTGAGCACAAGAATTTGCCAAGTCAACTGTTTCAACTACAAAATAAAGTGATCGGAAATTGGTAATTTGGCCAATTTAATGCAAAGTTCAAAATACTCCAATTTCAAAATAGGGTCCATAATAAACAATGCAGGCATTCCTAGCACTAATCTAACATTTCCTCTGTTCATTAGTTATGTTTCCAGGCTTTACTAATGAATTCCATTTTGATTTTTTATTCACATAATGAATTTTTATTCAAACCAAAAAATAGAAGACTTACTGTTATGCAATATTGTAATAATTGTATAAATAATATCATCACATTTGTCAACGTAAATTAGACCCACCAGCAGGCGTGTATTAGACGTGTGAGGCCATTTGTTTACTCTTGAACATTGGCAAAAATTTAACATTTCCCCTACTTTGAGAAATCATCTCTATTTCTGTAATATGTCTTCCAATCTATCAAATGAGACCAAGAAATCGCAAATACAACTATAAAAAAATACGAAAAAGCACTGCAAAGTTGCTGTTTTAATCGAAAATTATGATCTCAGTTTTTTTCTCTCATTATGCACCGTGCTGCAGGATTTGTTTTATGTGGTGCACACATACCACATAGATGTATTCTCTCATATCAAGGCCAAAATTTACCACTCACAGCTTATCTATGGTTCAGACCCTCAACCTAAAGCCGTAGATTTACGGCACGGACTCTCAAGGGGTTAATAAAACCATATTTTTACACAATGCTGTATTCCTTCTCTATACACAATGATACCTTCCAGAAAACCTATAAAAGCTGGAAAATACTAATGATTTGAAAGTTGATAATGGATTGTTGCACAGGAGCTATTTCTTTCAACTATGGGCTATTCAAAAAATGTAAAAAGCATACTGTCAAACTCAATTTAGCAACATGTATGCATGTTGTCACTGTTATTTTTAATACAGTGGTACCTCGTGTTTTGTACAGCTCCCAACTCGAACAATTATATAAGTGTATTATTGTAAGTGCTTTTGTAAGTGTATTTTTGATGATCTGAAATGGACTAATGTAATTTACATTATTCCTTATGGGAACAAATTTATTTGGTAATGGCACTCGAACAGCCTTCTGGAGCGAATTATGTACAAAACTCGGGGTACAACTGTACTCATGAAATTGTAATAATACGAATGCAAACAAATCACAGAATTATATCTAGCTGGGGGAAACCTATTAGAGCCAACTGGTCCAGTCATTAATGCACTGGCCTTTGAGTTTTAGCACTCACCTGCCATGGGGTCAAACCCCACCCATTCTGTGATTGTTATTATTATTATTATTATTATTTCAACAAACCGGCCATATCCCACCGAGGTACGGTGGCTCAAAGGGAAAATTGAGAATTTATTTTCTGAAAACAAACAGCATCAATGGGGAAAAACAGCAACAAGAAGTAAATTCATTAATTTATGGTCTGGGAAAAAACAGACAAAACAATACATACCTCATTATATTTATCTTGTGTAAATATAAACTTAGGGTCTTCATATCCTGGGCAATCAGGTGCTGGTAAGGGAAAATTATATTTGATCATATCATGTACACTTAGCAACAGCGATCTCCTGTCAAACTCATCAGCAGGAAATGACTGTGAAACCTTTCCACTATTTTTCTCAAAGACCTGTTCATTGTCAGCAACTGAAAACAATGGCTCAGAGGATTGATATATCTCGTTGTTTTCTTCAGCTTCTTTGAGATCCTTGAAATCTGGAGAGAAAAAAATATTTATTTTATGGTACAGGAGCAATAAAATTCTAAAAACATTGGCTGAAAGAAAAACAAGAATATATTGGGTAATAAGAGCAATTGCACAATGTGAAGCTTCATCACTGAGCCCATCACTCATGCAGGCAGACAGTTTTTCGGCCCTTGACTCCAATCCAGCCTTTTACACAATTTTTGTTTTTTAACATAATGGCCATCTCCCACCAAGGCAGGGTGACCCAAAAAGAAGAATGCTTTGATGAAGTTTTTCTTTTCTTTACATTTAGCAATTTATACAGGAGAAAGGGTTAATATTCCCTTACTCCCGGCATTTTAGTCACCTACAATACGCATGGCTTACGGAGGAAGGATTCTTCTTCACTTCTTCATGGAGTTTTACAAAAATACATGGAGGGAAGTCACTAGTAAAACAATACAATATCTCTAGACCTACTAATTATTATTATTAACATTGTATTCATTGGGATATGGTAAACTCATGAGTCACATAGTGCACGTGCACATAAAAGCATAATTTTGGGGGATACTATAAAATTTTTGACTAATATTTTTAGTAACTCCACACCTCTTCCAGTCAGAGGGCTGAAGAGGGGTTGTTGAGGTGGTTTGGTTATTTAGAGAGAATGGATCAAAGCAGAATGACTTGGAGAGCGTATATCTGTGTAGGGGGAGAGGAGGAGGAGTAGGGGTTGTCCTCGCAAACGTTGCAGGGAGGGGGTAAAGGAGGTTTTGTGGGCAAGGGGCTTGAACTTCCAGCAATCATGTGTGAGCATGTTAGATAGGAGTGAATGGATACAAATGGTTTTTGGGACCTGACGAGCTGTTGGAGTGTGAGCAGGGTAATATTTAGTGAAGGGATTTAGGGAAACTGGTTAGCCAGACTTGAGTCCTGGAAATGGGAAATACAATGCCAGCACTTTAATGGAGGGGTTTGAGATATTGACAGTTTGGAGGGTCTTCTAAACTGTCGTATCTGAGCACCTCTGCAAAGACAGTGATTATGTATGAGTGAGGTGAAAGTGTTGAATGATAATGAAAGTATTTTCTTTTTGGGGATTTTCTTTCTTTTTGGGTCACCCTGCCTTCGTGGGAGATGGCTGACTTGTTGAAAAAAAAATATAAAATTTTCACAAGAAATCCTACCATGCAGTATCTAGCTGCTCCACACTTTCAAATGCAGTAAATCCGCAAAAATAATTGACTTAATATCTTTTGCTTTACAAAGCCAGCCCAGAAAAAAAAAACTGGAACATATCAAACATGGAGATGGTGAGAATTACTTAGAAAAATGATAATGAATAACTGGATTTGGGGCCTTCTTGAGCTTCCAGATGATGTTGGTAGTAACTATTAAACAAACTTTATAGTGAAGGTAGCCCAATGATACTGAATATAGGACAATTACCCCTTATGGGGCAAGAGGTTAATTTTGGTGTGAATAAGGCACATGTTCCAGGTGGCTCCTAGGGCTCTCAACAGTAGGAAAGAGCCCAGTTTATTTATTTACTAAATGTAAAAAAGATGCAAAACTTTAGTTTTCTTCTTCTTTTTTATGATGATTTTTTTTTTAAATCTCCTTCATTTAAGGAAAATTCTTGTGGCTAATTACTACAGTATTTGACATTTATCACATATTTACCTGTTTTCATTTTATATTTTAATCTCACAGTAGATGGGAGACTGAGAAGCTCCTCAAAGGGACCAAGGTTGTACCTTGAAGGTGCCATCAACTCCAGTTTAGCATGCATTAGGGAAGAAGTCCGTGGGAGGGCTTCAGCAAGCCACTTGGGCTGGCTACCCCTTCCCTCCAACACTTCGTCTGAGCATGATGACTCTGCATCACTCCTGTCTTCTCTCTTGTTCGCATGAGAGTGGTCATCATTAGGAAGGTTCTTAAATTCATCTGTCATTCCATTTTTTGCAGCAGCCTTTTTCTCTGATGATTTATTTTCCATTGCAAAGTCACTAAGGCTCACTCCCTCGATGATAGTAGTAATGATGTGAGAAAATTTTCTGGTGTGAACCATTTTGACCCATCTAAAACAAGAAGCAAAGCAGGTAGTTCATAAATTGCAAAATTAATACATCAGGTAACTTAATCCTATTGGCAAATACATGAAATGTCATTAAATTGTGCAAATAAGGTTCTGTCTGGGTGCAAATTTTGCCCCTAAGGACAAAATTTGAGTCAGATTATTACTACACAGATCTTCATTCCCAAGACAATGACCTTCTTTTACACAATATGTTACATTAAAACAGGGTGAAATCTCAGTTTGTGAAGCTATTAAACTGTGAGACTAAAGTTGACTAAAATGAATATGAAGACAATTCTTTATGCTTTGAAGAGTACTAACATTAGCAAAGGCCTCTTCAGAAAATTCCACATCAACCTGTCATTTTCCTGGCCTTATTTTTACCTTTAATATACCTTTGATGAATTTCAAATATTTCTACTCCTGGAGCACAGCCAATATGTCCATAACATCCTGGGTGATCTGGCACTTGGTAGAAATACTTGTTCAATTTTCTCTTGAAGACTTTTACACTTGTTCCAGCAGTATTTCTGATATCTTCTGGTAAGATGCTAAACAATCTGGGACCATGGATGTTGATACATTTTTTTGTGCTCATGGTACCAACTGCCCTTCATTGGGTTTATTATCCACTTCCTCCCATATGTCTGACTCCAGTATGTTATGGAAGTGTACATGTCTGGGACCAGACCCTCAAGTACTTTCCATGTCTATATTATCATGTATCTCTCTCTCCTCTGCTCCAGTGAGTACACATTTAGGACTTTAATGGCTTTATTCGCTCTTTGTGTTTTGTAAATGATCCCTACATCTGTTCTAATTCAGATATTTTCCCTGCTCTGAAAGGAGCCATCTACACGAAACAATACTATGAGAGAGAACAAGTGATTTGAACAGCATCATCATTGGTATAATTTCCTCTTGTTTTAAAACTTCTCATTATTCATTTCATCATTTTTCTGGCTGTTGTGAAATCGGCCTCAGTGTTCCTTGAAAGAAAGGTCAGCCAACATACCTTCGATATAGTTTTCAGGCATTCCGAGAGTTTTTCTACTCCCAGAGCCCAGTCTTGGGTCAGGCTTGTCTGGTGCTTGCCTGGTCAACCAGGCTAAATAATACAGTGGTACCCTGAGTTTCGGCCATAATTTGTTCCAGAAGGCTGATTGAGTGCCGTTACTGAACGAATTTGTTCCCATAAGGAATAATATAAATTAGATTAGTCCGTTTCAGACCCCCCAAAATTATTTTTTTATTATTAACACACTGGCCGATTCCTACCAAGGCAAGGTGGCTCGAAAAAGAAAAACTTTCACCATCATTCACTCCATCACTGTCTTGCCAGAAGGGTGTTTTACACTACAGTTTTTAAACTGCAACATTAACACTCCTCCTTCAGAGTGCAGGCACTGTATGTACTTCCCATCTCCAGGACTCAAGTCCGGCCTGCCGGTTTCCCTGAATCCCTTCATAAATGTTACTTTGCTCACACTCCAACAGCACATCAAGTATTAAAAACCATTCGTCTCCATTCGCTCCTATCAAACACGCTCACGCATGCCTGCTGGAAGTCCAAGCCCCTCGCACACAAAACCTCCTTTACCCCCTCCCTCCAACCTTTCCTAGGCCGGCCCCTACCCCACCTTCCTTCCACCACAGACTGATACACTCTTGAAGTCACTCTGTTTCGCTCCATTCTCTCTACATGTCCGAACCACCTCAACAACCCTTCCTCAGCCCTCTGGACAACAGTTTTGGTAATCCCACACCTCCTCCTAACTTCCAAACTACGAATTCTCTGCATTATATTCACACCACACATTGCCCTCAGACATGACATCTCCACTGCCTCCAGCCTTCTCCTCGCTGCAACATTCATCACCCATGCGCCTACAATAATACACTTACATAATTGTTGGAAGCTATACAGAACTCGAGGTACCACGGTAACTGTAATTGAAATTGGAAGACCCAAATATCATCTGTAATCCGTTCCAGAAGGTCGGCCTAAATTCAAAAAGGCCTAAATACAAAGCAGTATTTCCCATAAGAATTAATGTAAATACAATTAATCTGTTCCAGACACCCAAAAATATTAACAAAAAACACATTTTTTAAAGATTAATTATAGTTTTACATACACAAAACAATGAGAACTAAATAAAATACATAAATGAACATTTAAATCACTATTACATACCTTTATTGAAGACTCTTGTTGGCTTATGGAAGACAGGGAGGAGGAGAGAGGGAGGACTGATTATTGTTTGGAAGGGGAATCCCCCTCCATAAGGACTTCAGGTATCAAAGCCCTCTCTGGGGTTACTTTCCTCCCTGCTTGCTACACTCCCTGCATGCCTGCTACACTCCCTGCATGCCTGCTACACTCCCTGCCTGCCTGCTACACTCCCTGCCTGCCTGCTACACTCCCTCCCTCCATCCTACACTCCCTGCATGCCTGCTACATGCCCTGCCTGCCTGCTACACTCCCTGCCTTTCTCCACATCTTCCTTTGTTTGTTATCTCTTTTTTGTTAAAATGTTTACCCCTTTCGCCACATCAGCTTCCTTGATTTGTTCTTTCTTTGCCATGATAGAAGTGATTTCTGATTTGGATTTTTCGTACATTCTGGCAAGCTCTAGCACTTGAACACCACTCTCATATTTTTCAATAACTTCTTTCTTAAATTCCATCGTGTTCCTCAGTTTCCTTACCAAAGGAACTTTACTAGGAACTTTCTTTGGGCCCATGGTGGCTTATTTCACAGTTGCACTTAATAAACAAGCACAAAAACCAATGGATTTTAAGGAAATGTTCGGATGAATGCGTGGAGTATGTGCTCATTCACCGAGAGACACAGGAAGACTGACTCACCTATGCAGCGGTGTCCCGGCGGGAGGCAGGCTGACGCGTATAATACAGCTGATTTGTGATGCACAGGCCAAAATACGAAGCAAAATTTCGGCCCAAAAACCGGCCTAAATATGATTCGGCCGATAAATATAACAGCCAATATTCAGGGTTCCACTGTACTGTACATATTTAAAAGCATGTCATGTCTGAGGGCAATGTGTGATGTGAATATAATGCAGAGAATCTGTAATTTGGAGATTAAGAGGAGATGTGGGATTACCAAAACTATTATCCAGAAGCTGAGGAGGGGTTACTGAGATGGTTTGGATATGCAGAGAGGATGGAATGAAATAGAATGACTTCGAGTGTATAAATCTGTAGTGGAGGGAAGGAGGGGTAGGGGTCGGCCTAGGAAAGGCTGGAGGCAGGGGGTACAGGTGGTTTTGTGTGTGAGGGGCTTGGACTTCCAGCAAGCGTGCGTGAGCGTGTTAGATAGGAGTGAATAGAGACAAATGGTTTTTAATACTTGATGTGTTGTTGGAGTGTAAGCAAGGTAACATTTATGATGAGATTCTGGGCAGCAGGCCAAACCTGATTTCTGGAGATGGGAAGTACAGTGCCGGCATTCTGAAGGAGGTGTGTTAATGTTGCAGTTTTATAACTGTAGTTGTAAGCATGCTTCTGGCAAGACAGTGATGGAGTGAGTGATGATGAAAGTTTTTTTTTTCGGGCCACCCTGCCTTGGTGGGAAACTGCCAATGTGTTAATAACACAGGTCTCCCTCAACATTCGCATTTTCCACTTTCGCGGGCTTCGAACATTTGCGAATTCCCAGCTGCCCAATCATATTTAAAATATGTCATTACATATGTTAGGAATTGTGGCAGTGGCAGTGTGTGTTTGGTGATAAAACAAGATAGTCCTTCAATATAACACTAATATCAACTCTATGGCTTATTTATCTATCACAATTCATCTAATATGACATAATAAACAATATTAGTAACATAGAAATACGACATACACTCTAGAACGAATAAAATACGTCATTAACCCTTTCAGGGTCCCCAAGCACTCTCCCAGACTTGTTCTCAGGGTTGCCCAAATTTCAAAAAAAAAAAAAAAATTATTTTTTCTTATGAAAAGATAGAGAATCTTTTCCTGATCATAATGACGCCAAAAGTATGAAATTTGATGGAAAACTTATGGAAGTATCCTCTCGCAAAGTTAGCGGCCTCGACGATGTTTACGCATCAGTGATTTTGCCCAATTTAAGCCCTATTTTTGGCCAATTCCATTGTACTAGTCAACAAAAATCATAACTATTTTGCTAGAACTCCATTTTTTCTATTGAATGAGTACAAGAAACCACCCATTTACCGATTTCAACTATCCAATACAGTGGTCAGAATTCAGCAATTTTGCCCATTTCACACAAATTTCAAAAGATGCCAATTTCCAAATAGGGTCCAGAATAAACAAGAAAGACATTCCTAGCACTAAACTAACATTTTCTCTGTTCATTAGTCACGTCCCCATGCCCCTCTTACATTCTTTTGCTTTCCACTTTGAATTTTTATTCTCACAAAAAATAGAAGATTTACTGTTATGCAGACTACTGCATTAGTGTAGAAATGGTATAAATAATATTGGCGCACTTGTGAAAGAATATTAGACTCGCCAGTTGATGTGTATTGGGCGCTTAGCATGATTTGTTTACTTTTGAACTTTGTTAAAAATCGAACATTTCTGCTACTCTGAGCTCAATTTCAAGGTACTTTTCATTATAAAACCAGTCAAAATTCTCTCAATTTCTGTAATATGTCTTCCATTCTATAAAATAAGACCAGGAAAAGTAGAATACAACAATAAATACCATACGAAAATACAGTGTAAAGTTGCTGTTTTAATCCAAAAACACGGTCAAAGTTTTTTTTTCTCATTACGCACTGTGTGCTGCAGGACTTTTTTTATACTGCACACACTGACCACATAGACCCATTCTTTCACATGTAGGCCTACCAGCTTTCTCTCACTAGATTTGAGGGCGCTAGAATTTAGGCGTACTAGTACGTCAAAAACCATGGTGCGTAAGCCGTACTAGTACAGCCGAAACCCTGAAAGGGTTAAGTATGTCACGAGTGTTGCTGTGTTGTTATTGTTGTTGGGTGTATAAGGGCCACTGAGAACATAAGCCGTACATAGTGATGGTGTAGGCAGCAGCAGAGGTAGAGACTAGAGACGGCGGTGTTGTCAGTCGCCCTATATAACTCCAACAACAGTGGAGGAGTTAGGTTTGTGCTGTCTTTTTTCGATCAATTAACTGCTTAACTCATTTGCAACATTGTTAATGTTACACTTTATCGCTGGCTGGCGCTATAGCCTTTATCGACTCATGCTGCTTTAGTATCGTACATATCGTAGAATCACTGAAGAAGGCACATTCTTCCCTCTCTCTTCCTCCTCCACTGGTCCTCTGCTACAAGTTCTTTCTTGAATTCTATAGTTTTTCTCACCTTCTTTACCAAAGGGCTGGCACTAGTATAATATTTTACAATGTTTACATGTGTTTTATGTTTGTTCATGGTTCAATAGGTTAAGGAAGCAGTATTGAATTATATTCCCCTACAATATACTGGGGCACCAAACATTCGCAATTTTTCAACATTCGCAAGGTTCTTGATCCCCTAACCCTCGCGAATGTTGAGGGAGACCTGTATAAAAAAATAAAAATTGAAAAGCACAGCATATGCACAATACAAATACAATGGTACCTCGAGTTACAAACTTTTTTCGTTCCAGAAGGCTGTTCAAGTGCCGATACGGAACGAATTTGTTCCCATAAGGAATAATGTAAATTAGAGTAGTCCATTTCAGACCCCCAAATTACACTTACAAAAGCACTTACAAAAATACACTTACATAACTGTTCGAGTTGGGAACTGTTCAAAACTCGAGGTACCACTGTACCTGGGTCGTGCAACCCAACCTAATAAGAAAACTGTTATAAATTATCAACAAAAACGTGAAAAGCCACATTCACCAGTGAAGACTGGTGATTTTTCAATGTTCACTGGCTGGAAGTGCCCTTTCAGTGACTACTTAGCCATAGTTACATAGAGTAAACAAACTACATGGTCAAGTACTTTTTTACACTTTCATACTGCTAGATTTGATTTTTTTTTTAACAGACTATTAAGTGAATAAAGTAGCTTAACCCTTAAACGGTCCAAACAGATTGACATTCAAATTCGTAGTGCTACAAAAGTAGATCTACTTTTTTTTACATATTTTCAAATATAACAAAAAAAAAATGTAGATAAAAGTTTTTTTTTACACATTTTCAAATGTAAAACAAAAAAGAAGATCTTCATTTTTTTACATACTTTCAGATGTTGAAAAAACGTATATATACGTTTGGACCATTTAAGGGTTAATAAGACTGTGCATTTAAAAATGCCAACTTTTTTTTTGTACACTATTTTTTAAAAGCACACATTTTCCTTAGGGTAGTGCGAGGTTTCATAAACTTGGATACACTGTGCATGCAATCACATCACATATTCAGTGTAAATACACTCTTGCATTGAACCTAGGTTTCATTAGCCTGGGTATACTGTACAGATAATCCTCGACTTATGATATGTCAACTTTAAGACTGTGCAAAAGCAATTACTTTGGAGATGAAACTTAAGATAATTACCCCAGCATGAAAGTGGCAAGTCTGTAACATGTAGTCATTTATTTACTTTTCAATATTGGTATTTAGTTACAGTAATTATTTGTTTATTTACTTATTCAGTGACAGTATTTATTTATTTATTTATTTATTTAGCATATTATATTCATATTCGACTTACGATGGGTTTATCGGAAAGTAACCCCATCATAAGTCGAGGACCGCTCATATGTGCAATCACATACGTAACTTATACACTGCAAGTACTGTACGGTATGTGGGTTTCATTTACGTACTTGGGTATTCTTGGAGATTCCTTGTGAATTAGTGAGTACAGCAGAAAACTCTGGACATCACTCATGTGCAATGGCACACGTTTATCTGCATTCAGGCTCAGGTTGCTGTGTTCTCCGGTGCTGCTGAGGAAGACTTTTGGCCAGTTCTAGAAAAAAACAGGAGAGTTTCAGTGGGGAGAAATAAATGGGATTAGGCCAGGGGTTTCCAATAGAGTTAGAGCTAAGGAAGGAGTAACAATAATGTTGAAGGATCAGTTATGGCAGGAAAAGAGGGAATGTAAATGTATAAATTCAAGGATAATGTGAGGTAAAATAAAGGTGGGATGTGAAAAGTGGGTTATAGTAAGTGTTTATGCACCTGGAGAAGAGAGAAGTGTAGAGGAGAGAGGGAGATGTTAAGTGAGTGCATGAGGAGTTTTGAAGCAAGTGAGAGAGTACTTGTGGTGGGGGACCTGAATGCTAAAGTGGGTAAAACTGTTGTGGAGGGAGTAGTAGGTAAGTTTGAGGTGCCAGGGGAAAATGAAAATGGGGGGAAGGGGGCCTTTAACCCCTAAACGGTCCAAGCGTATATATACGTTCTCTCCCCCAGTGCCCTGAATATTTTGAAAAATAAAAAAAGTTAGGGTCAGTACTTACTGAGATACGAGGTTGCAAAGTTGGCACTTAATGCTCACCTAATGGCAACATTGAGTCCTGCCGCTTGAGGAAGTGTTGCCGATATACCATTTTTTCACATTTTTATATTATTTTATATAATTTTTATGTTCTGATAATTACAATTTATTGTATTTCTTGGCATTTCATAACCAATCTTTGTTCGGACACTAATATTAGGTACTGAAATTGTACTCAAATTGTCACAAACACACTGACAGGTGGACATTTACACCTGCCTTGGTCATTTACTATTGTCTAAGAATATATACAAAGTACAGTGGACCCCCGCCTTACGATGGCATCGTGTTACGTTAAATCCGCCATACGATACAATTTTTCCCTTACAGAGAATAAACTTGAATTGAATTGAATTGAATTGAATTAACGCAAAAATTTTGCCTCGCCTCACGCTAAAAAACTCGCCTTACGTGATTCATCCAGGACGCGTCCCACGTGTGGCCTCAGCGCCAGTGTTTACAAGCCAGCCAGTGTGGTCGCACCTACACATACATTCGGTACATATTACATTATCCCAGTGTTTTTAGTGCTTGTAACTGCAAAATAAGTCACCATGGACCCCAAGAAAGCTTCTAGTGCCAACCCTGTGGTAAAATGGGTGAGAATTAGTATAGAATTGAAAAAAGAGATTAAGGAAATGTGTGTAAAGTGGCTTGAAGTGCAAACCTTTATGGATGAAAATCACCCTCACATAGCTATTGCAAGCCGTGCTGGTGACTATTACAATGGCAATGTTGTGAACCCCTTTAGACAAATCATAAAGGAACGAGAGGTACAGAGCTCTATGGACAGATATGTTGTGCGACAGAGGTCCAGTGACTCTCAAGCTGGTCCTAGAGGCATTAAAAGAAGAAGGGAAGTAACCCCGGAAAAGGACTTGAGGTATCAAGTCCTAATGGAAGGGGATTCCCCTTCTAAACAATAACAACTTCCACACTCTCCCCTCCTCCCATCCCATCAATCATCACCAGATCTTCAATGAAGGTAAGTGCCATGTAGTATTCTATTCTTAGTAGAGTATTAACTGTGCATGTCTTCTTCAGTTTGTGTGTATTAAAATTAATATTTCATGTGGTAAAAAAATTATTTTTTTCATACTCTTGGGTGTCTTGCACAGATTAATTTGATTTCCATTATTTCTTAAGGGGAAAATTAATTCACCTTACGATAATTTCGGCATACGATGAGCTCTCAGGAACGGATTAATATTGTAAGGCAGGGGTCCACTGTATTTATAGGTCTCAGCAATGTTATGGATACACGGGAGTATAGAAGAAGAAGAAGAAGGAAGAAGGAAAGAGGAGGAGGAAGAAGGAAGAAGCTCCCTTGAAGCAATGTGACAAGCATCCAGGAGGGCAGAGATGAGATATGGGATGACATTTGATGGGCGCCAGTGAGGGTGTAGAGATAAGATGAGATAGTGCAGAGATAAGAAGAGATAAACTATGACATTTGATGGGTGCCAGCAAGGGTGCAGAGATAAGGGATGACTAACAAAAAAGGCACAATACCGTGACTGGAACGATACACAAATAACCCGCACATAAAAGAGAGAAGCTTACGACGACGTTTCGGTCCAACTTGGACCATTGACAAAGTCACACTAACCAGAGGTGGAGCAGGACGGCTATATATAGGCAGGAAGAGGTGGTGGTAGTAGTAGTAGTACAAGAATTGTATATAATACCGACAAGATGAAATTAAGACACATGCCCAACACCCGGGCATCCCCATCGTAGACATTTCACAACAAAGACAACCAGACGCCGCACATGTGTCTTAATTTCATCAGTAGTTGTAGTAGTGGTAGAGGAAGAAGAGGTAGTAGTAGTGGTAGTGGTAGAAGTGGGAAAACGAGCCAGTCAAATACAAAGGAAGGGGAGCACTGCAAGAGAGCTAGATGCCCACTGAGGGAGAGCAAGCGCACAGAGGTGCATGAAAGGGGAAGTGGTGAAATAAATGAAGAAGGAACAGAAACACGAGACAGGAGAGAGAAAGACAACCCAGAGGAGAAAAGGAAAGAGGAAAGGGGGAGTGGAAGAAGAAGAAAAAGAAAAAAATGAGGATTCAGGTTAAGTCACGGGTGTTCTGAAGTTTGGAGCATTTTACAATGTAGTGGGAGAGGAAGGCATCTACAGAGACGAAGCCAGGGCTAAGGTTCATACAAGGAAAGTTGTGTATTAGAGAGGATTCAACTAGACGGCGACTGTTCGAGTTGGAAGTAGGGAAGACAGTTTTAGCAGAAGACCAGTCAATAGGATGGCTATGATCTCTGACGTGACAGAAAAGAGCATTGTTAGTGTCGGCAAGCCTAACACTATTTTTGTGCTCCCTAAGTCTGTCAGAAAGAGATCGACCAGTTTCTCCGAAGTATTGAAGTGGACAGGAGGAGCAAGAAATAGAGTAGACACCAGGAACATCTGTAGAGGGAGGAGAGGTATGAACGAGATTAGTGCGAAGAGTGTTAGTCTGGTGGAAGGTACGCTTGATGTCTAAGGGACGGAGAGAATTGTTGAGATTAGAAAGTCCTTGCTAATCTTTACATGGAATACTTCGAGACTGTTCTTCTTCCTACCCTCGATGTGCAACCTTCACTCTGGCTCCGCTATGTGGATAACATCTTTGCTCTGTGGCCTCATGACTCCACTTCCAACCTTTTCTTGAAGCTCTTAATAATCTTGCCCCTTCCATTAAGTTTAAAGCTGAATGGGAATCTAATTCCTTGCTTCCTTTCCTTGATGTCCATGTCCACCTCTCAGATACAGGTTTTTCCCTTTCCGTTTACCGTAAACCTATGCACAGTGGCATGTACATTCACTACTTTTCCTATCATGCTTCCCCTGTCAAGAAAAGTGTTCTTATCTCCCTCTTTCTCCGTGCCCTCTGCATCTGTGATCCTCAGTTCCTTCCAGCAGAAATTTCCACTCTTCATAATTCGTTCTCCCGTCTTGGCTACCCTTCCCATTTCATAGACTCTGCCCTCTCACGTGCTAAACGCAATTTCTTCTCTCCCAAACTCTCTACTCATGGGAACTCTTCTATCCTCTGCCTTCCCTACATTTCCGGTCTTTCTAATCTCAACAATTCTCTCCGTCCCTTAGACATCAAGCTTACCTTCCGCCAGACTAACACTCTTCGCACTAATCTCGTTCATACCTCTCCTCCCTCTACAGATGTTCCTGGTGTCTACTCTATTTCTTGTAAAGTAAAAGGACACAAGTGCAACTAATGTGACATTTTATTGTGGCAACGTTTCGCTCTCCAGGAGCTTTATCAAGCCATTACCAACAATACATGGACACAGAGGGTATATATAGGCTCAGAGTGAGGTGCGATACTAGTGGTAGTGGTAGTAGTAGTAGTGATAAAAGTTGTAGTAGTAATACAATATGGTAGAACAATTAATTCGTACATGAGTAAAAGGATATAAAAGCTATTACTTGGGTAACATAAAAATAGGTTGGACAAATATAGACTGGATAGAGGCAGCCTGTTTCAGTGTTCACTCTCTGTAATGTGCTTTGTGTAGTATAACAGGAGAGACTATGTGATGGCAGGGTTTACTGTTTTCAGGAGGATTCTTGCTAAGACTTCAGAGATGGTGAAGCTGCCGTTGTTTTGTTTAATTGTATTCGAAACAGCGATCAGTGCTAATTCTAGGCACTTGCGTCTGCAGAAATTAGTTTCTTTGATCACTAATTGGGCGTCCCTGAATTTCATGAGATGACTGGTGGAATTTCGGTGTTGTACACAGGCGTTGTTCAGGTTGTCACATTAGTTGCACTTGTGTCCTTTTACTTTACATATTGTCGGTAATTCTACCAAATTTATTATACTCTATTTCTTCTCCTCCTGTCCTCTTCAATACTTCGGAGAAACTGGTCGATCTCTTTCTGACAGACTTAGGGAGCACAAAAATAGTGTTAGGCTTGCCGACACTAACAATGCTCTTTTCTGTCACGTCAGAGATCATAGCCATCCTATTGACTGGTCTTCTGCTAAAACTGTCTTCCCTACTTCCAACTCGAACAGTCGCCGTCTAGTTGAATCCTCTCTAATACACAACTTTCCTTGTATGAACCTTAGCCCTGGCTTCGTCTCTGTAGATGCCTTCCTCTCCCACTACATTGTAAAATGCTCCAAACTTCAGAACACCCGTGACTTAACCTGAATCCTCATTTTTTCTTTTTCTTTTTCTTCTTCCTCCTCTTTCCTTTTCTCCTCTGGGTTGTCTTTCTCTCTCCTGTCTCGTGTTTCTGTTCCTTCTTCATTTATTTCACCACTTCCCCTTTCACACACCTCTGTGCGCTTGCTCTCCCTCTGTGGGCATCTAGCTCTCTTGCAGTGCTCCCCTTCCTTTGTATTTGACTGGCTCGTTTTCCCACTTCTACCACTACCACTACTACTACCTCTTCTTCCTCTACTACTACTACTACAACTACTGATGAAATTAAGACACATGTGCAGCGTC